GTAGGACTGGAGGCTCTGGGAGAAAGATATATGAATGTCACTGTCAGTGTTTTGTATCTTATTTGCAGCAATATTAGGGCAATATTAGTGTCCTGTCCCCCCTTGAAGGTGAAGTTAATTTTATTTTCTATATAGCGGCAGATCACAACACAGAAAAAGGCATGATGAAGTCGTACCAAAGTCAGTGGCATTAACCATCAAGCTATGGATTTCAGCCATTTCAGCATTTTCAGAGCAATTCTTCAGCAATCAGCATCCACACACATTTTCTTCAGGAAATGCATTTGTCTAGTTAACTGTTAATATTCTCTTTCCTTATACTGCAGAGAAATTCATGTTGCATGACTAAGGCTTTGTATACATAATCTGCTGAAGTGGTCCAAATCTGTTTCTTTTCCTCCAGGGTTATGTCCACATTACAAGCCTTAACGCTCAGTGCTGATTTTTGTGTTAATGCTTCACATTCACACTTGTAAGAGACATGTACCCAGCTCTCGTGTGAACACTGAGGTCCCAAACTGTCACGCGTGCACAGATTTAAGTGAAATGAGAGCCAGATGTGTCCATTAATTTGCCTACAATTTTGTGTGTTATTCAACTTTTGTACACTCTTGGTGTTCCTGGTCAAAAATGACTAGTCAATAGAAATGAATGGGGGAAGACAACAATTAGTGTAAAAAAACTGAGCTGAACCATTTCTGTGAATAGTGTGTCAAAGCTTCAACAAAGCCTCAATCAGCCATCACTAATTGTGGGGCTTTGAAGATTTACGACACCCCCCTCGTTGGGGCTAAATAATGGATAAACATTATTTAACTCATATACTGAGCTTCCTCATGAATGCTCTCCTCTTCTTTGGCACATTTAATTGTGTATTATTGACCATCATAGCTGTTCACATCAGAGTTGGATACACATCACTTACAAAAATGTGACTCATTAAGACAAAAACATCAAATCAGAATTGAGCTTTGAGGCCTGTATTATGTTTTTAGTTTGTAGTCTCAAAACCTAAAAAACTTTTTAATGTCTTCACAGCAAATGTTTACATAAAACCTTTTAAAGCAGAGCAAACTAGTTTGAAAAAAAACTGAAGTAGACGTTTTTCAAAAGCAGTTTCTGAGGTCAATCTCCAAAAGTATTTCCTAAATTCACCTGGCTACCAGAAAAATTAAACCACCACAGTGTGCTTTGTGTGCATTAGCATTTTAATTGGACAAAGCAAGAAAACATTGATTACAGTAGCAGAGTCATCTGTTCTCAGGGCCAACACCTTTCTAAATAAAAGGGTCTGAAAATGTCTGTAGGCACTGCCTAATTAAAAAGTGTCTTGTCAGCTAAAAGAAACCAGCTCTATAAGGCAACAGTTAAAACATAGGCCTCCCCAGTTCTGTGGCAAAAAAGAGCAAGTGTAAAGGTTGAATCCATTCAGATTTGATAAAAAATACTGGCATTTCAATAGACATTTAAAAAACATCAGAAATGTCAAACAGGTTCACTCCTTGACATTAGAATTGTGTTACTTTTTAAGTATGCACTGCATGGCAATGCTGTTTTATCCCTGCATGGAAGAGTCATGTGTTGCACTGTGCCAGTGTCACATTTGATAGTGCCACTCTGCTACGTACAATGTTAGCGTTAACTGTAGAATTACCAAAACAAAAAAAGCAAGCACCCACAGTTAACAGTAGCCTTTTACTTACATCGTTTCAAATGAATGGATGGTTATTTACACGTGGCGAAAAGATTTGAGGCTGTCCAAAATTTAAGGAGAAATGGAATGCCAAAAAGGAAACTCTTGGTTTTCAAATTGTCCAAGTACAAGAGAGGAAAAACTGTGCAATATTTACCTGCCCTTACAAAGAAACAGCAGTGGCAACAATCCCTGCAATTGATTTTAATCCAAGAGAAAGTCAGAACAAAACAGATTTCCATTCCTCAGATAATAACTAAGGTTTATAACTTAGCATGATTTGGAATTTACTTTTTTTGTTTGTTTTTGTTTCTTTTTTAAGAAAAAAATGACAAACCTCTTTGTGGCTGTCTGAGGATGTGAAAATGGAAGCGATTTGTAAAACCCGAAAAAAAAACAAAAAATTTCTTTACAGTTTTATACTCATTTACAGTTAACTTAAAAATGGTAAAGAGTCCTGGATCATGGCCAGTCTACCACAAAGGGCGTCAACACCTGTGGGGGTCAAATCACCCTTCCCTGGCTCTTGTTACTAGGCCCCCCCAACCCCCACCCATACCCCACAAAACCCCATTTACATCCCCTATAGGCATCAACCTTCCCATTAGGTTCCGCATCCCAGTAAAGAGTCCTGCCACAAATGGAGGTGGTGTTACACAGCTCCGCAGGGCACTGTACAGCCAGTAAGAGGCTGGTGGTTGAGAAATCTCCCACCCTGCCCACTTATCAGAGTGTGGGGTATCCTGCGGCTCCCATACCGGGCTGGTTGGCTAGCATACTCCCATTCAATCCCTGTGTAGGCTCCATAACCCCACCGTTACTGATGGCGCTCATGCCAGTCCACCCAGCATTGGCCGGTAAATGACTGCAAAAAAAGATGAAGTAAAGAAAGAGAGAGACAGAAAGACAAAATGCCAGCAGGTTAGAAGAGACAAGGCGAAAGGGAGCCAAAGACGGTTTATATTAGAGCTACTAGAATCTGCACAGGATTAAATGAGAACAAGAAGGCAAACAGAGTTATCAGAGGTCATGAGGGTGAAGCAGGCTGGGCAAAAAAAATAAAAAAATAAAATAAAAATCAAGCTAGTAAAAACAGGAGAACAAATAGAAGGTGGAGGGCTCTAGGGAGGGGTCAAAGGTAAGTGTCATTTGATTCAATATGGGTGGACAAGCAGACAAAGAGCATACAGGCTAAGCACAGTGAACTAAATACTGTTATTCACTGCTGCTGATAAGCATGATCAAAGCAGCCGGAAGAGCCTACAGACAGATAAGCCACACTGTAGGCCATCTTCATCTCTCTTTGCAACACTTCTACATTTGGCAAAGCAGTAATGTCAATTCTCACCCAACTGCCACTGGCTTTCAGGCTTTTATCAGTCATGTAATAAAACTCAATTCTATATTCAGAGAATTCAGCCCTTATAGTAATCTTCAAATGTCAAGTCAAGGGAAGCCTCGCCTCCGTTTCAGGAACTGCGCATTAGACAAACTGTTTTCAGTTACATCTGCCTCACCAAAAATGTTAAGACTGTCATCAAGTTATGGCCTCTCCTTTATTTGTCTTAGGTGCACAAAACATCACTGCATATAAACTGTCTTAAAAAAACAAAATATGATAACCTACAAGTGATATTTAACATGTTCTGACATTTATATACAGATCAAATTCTCAGGGATATGTAAAAGTTAGTCAGTGGAACCAAAAAAAAAAATAAAGTCCAAAGCTATGAAATGAAAGTAGGCATAAAAAAAAAAAAAAAAGCCGAAAAGAAAAAAGGGCTTACCAAGCTTACAAGAAAAGGAAACGCATCCATCAATAAAACTATCCTCAAGTACAGAAACTAAGCCAATTTTTGTTCTGACCCTTTAGCACTTATTTTGCTAAGTAGATTTTTTTTCTATTGTCACTAAATGTATGGAAAAATAGGTTTTCGCTAGTTTAAAGCATTTTGGGACAGCTAATTGTTTTTAACCATTATGTGATATAAATTCAAGTGAAACACATTTTGGAACAGAACATTTCAGGCAATAACGACACACTGAAACATGATTAACAGCAAAAGTAAAGTTATGATTGTTCTCTTTGTATGTGTGTGCACTTATTTCTTCTCAAGATGAGGTGAGGGGCTGGCGAAGGGAAGAGGTGGGGTTGGGGGAAGGAGGTCATGGCCGCCTCCTTTGGCTAGAGCTGGCTCTTGCTGCCCCAGTCTTGAAAGGGAACTCGGGTGGTAGCTGAAGTAGGAGGAGGCGGTGAAGGGGAGCCCTGTGCTCATCGTGCTACTTACTTGAAGCCCTGCTGGTTCCAGGCCTGGCTGTAGACCCCGTATGTAGGGACCTGCCACCCGTTTGGGACATACTGGCTAATCTGGGGCCCATTGCCGTACCACTGACCCCACTGGCCGTAGGGCTGGGCTGCAGCGAAGCCCATCTTGTTCTGCTGTAGAGTACAGTACAAGTGTGGGTTAAGCTTAGATTAAGGAAACAGATTCACTTCACTTTCCAAAATGGTTGATCAAACCCTTCGGCAACAACATTCTTCAAACTTTTCCTACAACAGTTTCCTACAACAGCAGGTATTCTTTTATATATGTCATATAACTATATATTGCAAATTAAATAAAGGAAACAAAAGCAGCACAAACACAAGCAGACTGTTTTCTTCTGACTTTACCAGTACTTCATAAATCAATTTCAAGTCACCAATCAACCTAACCTGCATGTCTTTGGACTGTGGGAGGAAGCAAGAGTACCCAGAGAGAATGAATGCAGGCACATGGAGAACATGCAAACTCCACACAGAAAGGCCCCAGGCCCTCTTGCTTACTTCGTAAATCATTTAAAATAATTATATAAACCTGCATAACCTGTACTATTCAGGGGTCTATACTTAGATGATCAGGACGTTTATTGGAACTAGGAACTTGACAAAATTCTACATTGCTAACTGACTGGACAAACATTACATCTCCATATGTTGCAATGATGGGTTTTGAAAAAGGGTGGGCATTACCCTGAGAATGTCAGAGGGAGGAGCATGGCTTCAAAGCCACAAATAAGAAAGTTACCTTCAAGACATACATGCTTATTAAATTCCTTTTGTGATGTTCAACATGTCTAGTGTTGTGGCTGCAAATCGACTGATGCTGAAGTTACAGTCTCATGAAAGACTGCAGCACTAACCACCAGATGTCATCTTTTGCTGCTGTTGCCTTCAGCACTTTGCAGAAGACAGTAACGAGCTGCTGTGTGTTCTACACTGTATGTCCAGTATGTGTGTCCTTACCTGGGGTATAGGCATCTGCTGCATTGGGCTCATCATGTCCGGGGTCTCTTTACCCCAGTAGCATTTGACTATATGGCCCTCTATTGAGGTGCCATTCACTGACACAATGGCATGAGCTGCTGACTCATGGGAGTTGAACCTGGACAAAAACAGAGTGAGAGAGTGACTAAGGAAACACTAAAAAAACATTTAATAAATATTCACTCAACGGTGGTGAGTACACCATATCTGGAGACCAGACCTGTTACTATAAAGGGCATGAAGGGTTATTAGATGGGCTTTTTGGTCACTCAGACATGCACAGAGATACTACCTCTGTATGATAAGCATTTAAACAATTCCAGGGGAATGAAACTGATAGGTGACATTTGTGGGATACACCCCTGCATTCATAAAAGTATTCCTGCACCCAGAAACAGGAAACCAAAATCCTGCATGTGGATATAATCCATGCTAGTCACAGCACTAACAATATTATATCTTTGCTTCCAAATCCAGACTCTTCATGAATACAGCAGGTTTTCTCTCCCATCCTGTAGTGATCTATTCTGCACCCCAGCCCTTCACACTTTGACCTTGCTTGAAAGAAAAATACAACAGAAGAAAATAGCAAACTCCCACACACCTCACAAATGAATAGCCTTTGTCTGGGAAAACTCTGATTTCCATGATTTGTCCAAAGGGAGAGAAGGTCTGTCTCATAAGTTGTTCTGAAAGCCGAACAGAAAGAGAACTTCAGACATCACACTCTGGGGCTTAATGTGTCATGAAAAAACTGCTTCTGCTTCATGAGAAAAGTGGCATAACAGCATCTTTAGTAAGGGTCTCTAGAATCACCTCCGAGTATAATTAACAAGTCCCCTGAAAGGACCAACGTCTCCAAATGAATGGATCCTGCTGCATCCTATTATATATAGTATGACAGCACAGCTTAAACTTCATCCAAAAACTCTTAGACAAGACATATTAACACACTAGGAGACATTCTTTATTCAGCTGTAACAGCCACTGAGTCACTGAGCATGTCTCGAGAGGCCCTTGTGTTGTCTTGTTAGTTTGACGAGCTGAGAGTACTATAGTACAATGGCTGCAATAATGATGCAATACATCATGATTGCAACAATATGGCTGTTTTAAATGTCTTTTTATTGTTTCTAGACAATCATTTAGCATTATGAATCCCATTGCCTTATCATTTAAAGTTGTGTTCACTGGCTAAAAATTTTTGCTGTAATCACTTGATGCTACCGCTGTCAGTACTGACGGCAGCGTTGTGACCAAAAGCATTCCTTACCTGTCAGCCCTGTGCTGACTCCGCCACAATACACAGTACAGTTACTGGGGCTGGACTGATTCACTACTTCATCGAAGGATAGGTGCTTGGAATTATCTGGTGGAAAACAGCAAGACACTTTTCCCATTAACACCTGAATCCACTTCTCGTGTACCCAGGCAAAACCTGCACATTTATAACAACGCACTTTCATAGGTGGTCTTTGGGGCAGGGGGCTTCCTTGTGGCCCAGTTAGTTCGAATCTGTCGGCCACCTAACCACTGACCCCCCATCTGCTGAATGGCGTTCTCTGCATCCTGGAGATAAGAAAGAGTCTGGTAATACCGCTGAGCTATAGTTTAATAATGTAAAATCTAAAAATGCATCCCTTTAGAAGTGCAGAGCTGAACATGATAAAGCTATGTGAAAATGTTCCTTTTTATTGTAAAAAGATAGAGCATGTTTTATAGAAATGATAATGCTTTAAGAACCCCACCATTACCTCGATGATGTGCACTTACCCATTTGTTGAAGAAAGACACAAATCCATAGCCTTTAGACTTTCCTGTGGCCATATCTTTCACAACACGAGCATCTCTGTGAACAAACACAGCACATCAGAAACATGAGGCACAACATGAATACCATTGTATGAACAGCAAACCGTTTAAATAGCTTAATGAACTCTTAAATTGAAATGAAAGCTGCAACTAAAATTTGTTTGTGTTGACCATCACCATCCATTTGTTTTTCTTTTGTAAAATTGCAGAATAGTGTATAAAAAAAACCATCACATTTACAAAAGTCCCAAGCTGATATGTCTAAATTACCCATTTTCTCCAACCAAAACACAAAAGTATTCAGTTTATTATCATAAATGACAAATGAAACCGGCAAATATTTACATTTAAAAAGCTGGACTCTGTGAATACTCAGCATTATTTCACTAAAAAAACAAACAAACAAACAAACAAAAAAAAAACACTTGAACAACTGTCTATCAAAACAGTTGCCAGTTAGTCAGTCAAGCAACAGAAAATTAATTCCTTTGGCTTTAACTGAAACTACAAATCCTTCTACCAGGTTTCTTCCAATTTTAGTGGAATATTAACATTTCTTCTCAAAATCTGAGCACAACCACATTTTCCAGCATCTATCCATAATTTAAATTACCCTTGTAGGGCTGCAACTACCAACTACTTTCACTGTGGATGTTTTCCCTCAATAAAGTGATTAATCATTTGGTCTATACAAAGTGAGAAAACAGTAAAAATGTCCAGTTTTGTAGGTCGATCAGTGCAAACTCAAAAGGTATTCAAAATACAATAAAATAACACAAAGACAAGCAAAACATATGTGAAGCTGAAGCCTGAGAAATTAACTACTGATCAATTATCAAAATAGTTTGTTGATCAACTGAAAAACGAATTAGTTGCAGCACTGAATCTCTGCCAGTAAATATTAACTTTATACTTACGATATCCTGCCAAATGGACCAAAGGCAGCTTTGACATCTTCTGTACTTATTTCTGGACTGAGGTCTCCAACGAAGACGTGAAAGTGATCTATAGAGGGAAAAACCGCATGCCATATACTACAATGCACACTATTTCATGCTTTAATGCTCTTAAGACTGACTTCCTGTCTGGTTTGCAGATTTTTATCCACTTGTCATTAAAGAAAAGAAAAGAAGTAACGCTATCACGGAAAAAACATTCCACACAAGCAAATTAAACAATCACTATATAAAAATATGCAAGCATGTATACAATGTTAATTAGATTAGATTAGTGGTGGGCAAGTGAAGCCTCATGAAGCACTGAGGCTTTCCTAACAATTGTGCCGAAAACAATTCAAAGCTTCAAGACTTCAGTGACAGTGACATCTGGTGGACAACTGAGGCCATAGCAGCCTCTAAAGAGCACGACTGAAGCACTGGCACTGTTTCAATCCCATGACAGCAATAAAAGTTCAGAAAAGTCTGTGTGGTCATTCAAGTGTTTTGTTCATTCATACCAAATAATGATTATATCGTCATTACAATAA